CTTTTTAGTCTGATATTTGTTTTGAATATAGTCAATCCATCTTCTCCATTCCGATATATATCTTTCATTTGAATGGTCCTTCAAATATGCCGAAATTTTTGCCATCTCTGCTAAATTCACTACTTTTAGTGTCCATTCTTCAATAGTAGGTAAGTCTTCCTTCTTCCAATACTGCGCCACCAAAAGTCTGGCTGCTGTTATTAAATTTAAAATCAACTTAGTCTCTATAACAGTACAATCTGTAATTATACCTAACAAAAAGAACTGTGGAGTAAATTTTATCTTCTTTTTGAGAATATTTTGAATAATCCACCATATTTTTATCCAAAATGCCTTAATTTTTTTACATGTCCACCATATATGATAATACGTGGCATCATCACATTCACATCTCCAACACTTGGGTTGCACACTTGGATACATACAGGCTAGCTTTTTAGGATCTAGATGCCATCTATAAAACATTTTATAAAAATTCTCTCTTAAATTTTGGGCTTGTGTAAACTTCACATTTCTAACCCATATTTTTTCCCACGTTTCCATCATTATTGGTTCTTCAATATTTTGTGTCCACTTTATCATACAGTCCTTAATTAACTCCGTTTCTGAATCTATTTCTACCAATGGAATATACATACTATTAATGTGTGGCTTCAGTCACAGGATAAAATATATGGTATGCCAGTACTGCAGCCACTCAGAGCTGGGTCTACTACTAAAATGGAATGAAGCATGAGAAACTATTCACTCTGAAAAGCTACAGAATCAAAAATAGAAAATATGGCGATGGGGGTATTTGCAATGGGCTGAGACTGGGAAGAGGACAATGGATGTGACAATAGATGCGCTTTTCCTCCCATCCCATATGTCCTGTCAGTTTTACACAAGGGAATAATCTAATGTGTTACAAATTATATTTGCAAGCACATCCACACATATCTTCAACAATCCTTTCCTTTCTTTCTTTTGCTTAATGCATGTGACAAAGTAACAATCATATGAAAAAAATAGTAGCATGTGGAAAGAAAAATGACTCAGTCATCACTATTATATAGTTCTACATTTTCCAGCTCCTTCCTTCCTTCCTTCCTTCCTTCCTTCCTTCCTTCCTTCCTTCCTTCCTTCCTTCCTTCCTTCCTTCCTTCCTTCCTTCCTTTCCTCCCTCCCTCCCTCCCTCCCTCCCTCCCTCTCTCTCTCTCTCTCTCTTAATTTCTTTTAGCATGTTTTTGCTTAACTGCCCTCAGGCTCCTGAATCTTGATCATGCTTTCAAACATGTTTTTACATATTTATATTGCCTGTCACAAAACACAGTTCTTGTTAGTACTTTGCATGGCGTTGCTTCCAGTTATGTATCCTCTCTCTGCATGCCTCTTCCACCCCCCTTTTTTCTTTTCCCTCTTCTCCTTTGTTTGCCCAGCATTCTTTCATTCCGTACAATACAGCATTTCAGTTCTTGCAATAAATGCCTTCATGTGGAGCAGTTCAACTAGGAGAGAATGTTATTAGACGGTGCTCTCAGGCAGCACACCTTCACACAATCAATACACATTCGGAGCTCTGTTCATTCCCTCTTTGCTTAAATTCCCTGCAAAAGTGCAAGGGAAGCAGCAGAGGGTATCATCAATCATGGGCCACAGTGACATACGCTGAAGCCTGACCAATGCTGAGATGTTTTAATAAGGCATCCATTAAAACCCTCAAATAAATTGCAATTTTAAAACAGAACATGATACAGACCAAGTTTTCCTCATCCATCTTCTGGCGTGTCATGTAATGTAATTGCGCTGTTAATTTATCCAAGAACTTTCTCCATACACAGTTTCATCAGTATTGCTTAATTTCCCTGAAGAGTTGTGTGTGTGTGGTGTGTGTGTGTGTGTGTGTGTGTGTGTGTGTGTGCTGGTGGTGGGGAGCATGCACAAAAGTATCGCTGCTTCAGGGGTGTAGAGTAATGTTTCTGCTTAGCATGGCATTAGCCAGAGAGCTAATCAAAGATTTGAAATGTCTGACACTTTGTCAATGGACAATTCAGCTTTGTTTTGTTGCCTTACCAACTCTAGCCTAGAGCAGCCCCCTCCGCTTGCCTTTTTCTTCCTGCCAAACTTTCTGTGGTTTATGCCCCTCCAGAGTGGGGTCATTCAATGTGCCTGTGGATCTCGTCAATACCTATTGACCAATGAGTTTAGGGACCATTTAAGATTGCAAAGCATTGGCACGCAGTCCTGATTTTGGTTCTCAAGCTTAGGACATGTCTGTAGAGCTTTGACAAGAATAAGGAAAGTGAGAAGCTTGAAATCAATACCAAAGAATGAAAAAATATTGCTATAGAAGAATGTCAAAGTGATTATGCTTGCTCTCTCCTCCCTGTTTTATTTTTTAAGATCTGGAAGACAGTCAGAGGCAGGGGGTGTTGTATAGATTTCTTTGTCTTCCATGCATAAATCTAAAAATAAGTAATGTAATTCCTCATGTAATGTTGCGTCAGCAGATTTTCCACTTTTATTTATTCTTTTTTTCCCCCCTTAATCAATTCTTTATCTCTTTCTGCTATGGAAGAAATAGTCAGGAGACATAAAATAAGATTTGCCATGTACATGCCGTTAAATCTGCACTGCTGCTTGAGCAATAATGCCATCTAGGTATTGGTTTAAATCTAATAAATGTCCTCTCAAGAACGTCTTGAAGTCAAAAGGTATGCAGACAAAGAAAACTTAAATCAGACAATAATTCTGGGTATCAAAAGGCAATAAACAAAGGCAATTAAAACGAACAGCCTCTCCATGTTATCTTCCAGAATAGTCAACTCTTTTTCAGTGTAGGTGTTCCAAAAGTCAAATGATAGTTCCTTGCCTTCAGTTCAGTGGTGGGTTGCTCCGGGTTCGGTCCAGTTCTATAGAACCGGTAGTAAAACCGGCGGGAGGCTCTGCCCACCTGCCACGATATCATCACGGGTTAGGGTTAGGGTTAGGGTTAGCGCGCGGTCCCATTGCAAACCAGTAGTAAAGGTAAGTAGAACCCACCCCTGCTTCAGTTATACACCAGAGTCCACCTTGTGTCAAAATATCGCCAGTAAACATTGGGTTTACAAAATGCCTGTCTTCAGGAAAATCTGCCTGAATTTGCACAAAGTTGCAGACCAGCTCATGCAGTCCTGCCTACTTTTTCTGAAGCTCTCCAAGCTTTATATTTTGCTAATCTTAAAATTTGTTTCAATAGTCACTAACATTTTCATCTAAGTGACCACACAAGAAAAGCCTTCTTCCCCTAACCATAGATGCAATTCAGAAAAAAAAAGTAACAACATAATGATCAGGATATGGAATAGAAACATTTTTATCTTACGTTTTGGAAATATCCGGAAAGTCTAAAAAAAACGAGGCATCCACAGTTGTGGCACATTGGCCTATTAATGGGGTTCTTTGTTTTCAAGTACTTATTCCATGTGGTGTTTTGATTTCTTCTCTTTGAGCACTTTCTTGAACTGATTTATAATTCCAGCATCTCATGATGACCTGTGCAGTGTTTTCATTAATTCAACCCCCGTTATGTAATTAAAGGCTGCTTGAATTTCTTATTGGCTTAAACTCTCTTCTTAACTCCAGTCTGTGACCCCATGTTTCTGAGATACTAAAATTGTCCAGGACGTACCATGAATAACCTTGTTTTAACCACTAAATTACCTGTGTCTGAATTCAATTTGAGGCTTAACTATAAAGACGAAAACCTCCCTATATGTTTACATTTGGAACACAATGCATGACCTTTAAAAATCTCTAATGTTACTACTCACCCAGTGAGGTAAAACCATATGTCATTGGTAAGTGAATATAAGTACAGATTTAGGTTTATCTAGATATGCAGACCTCTTCCGTTGTATTTCTTGCTTATTGATATCTTATTAAACATTTATTTTCCAAATCAACATGTTCAAATTTTTAAGGCATCCATATTTTCTCCTTATAAACACCATCTCCTTTTCATGGAGCCAAAGCTTAACAAAGCCAAAGATTCTTCAGGGTACAAACTTCCTATAGTGACTGGACTTTTGAAAGAATCCTTAGAATATCTGTAAATGAGCCAGCATGTATCCCTCTCCCCAACATGATATTTCTAAACTAATTTCAGGAGAAAATGATTTACTTTTCATAGAATAAATCTGAACTCTTGGCCAATCTTAGCCTGCACCAATTCTCATGCTAATTCTCTATCATACGTGCAGTTTTATGAAAGTCTTATTTTATCTGTTTGGTTCTTTGTAGTCATTTAAGAGTTGAAAAAGGAATATTACCACCACTCACTTTTTATAGTGGGAGTCACAGTATTTGCCTGCCCCCCCTTTTTTTATCTTTGAAATTCCTATACAAAGGAAATGAAAATGCTTTATATTTAATAGTGGGAGCATATAAACCAGAGTTGTATTATTGCATGTAGTACTGGGTGAGGACTTTTCAGTACTATACAGATTATACTATACAGATTACTTTATATAAATTTAGGGGACAAGGAAAAATGGAGACATATGGATTTAACAAATTAAGCAGGAAACATTAGAAAGAACACAGTCAAATATTGTTGCTCATTTTCTTAACATTAAAACCCACGCAGGGTTGCCAATCTCTTTTTTCTTCATTTTTTAAAAAACAGGCTTTTGAAACCTTGCTGTCTATCAGTCTAGAAAGAAAAGCAAGGTAAGTTTTTCTTGGCATCTTGTTAAAGAGATGAAAAGCTTAAATCATTAAATGTAATGCTGTGCTGAAATCCATCTGCAAGTTCCTACCAAGTTCTTCCACTGTTTGAAGAACTTGCACTTGTTGTTGTTGTTTAAAAAGCTCATTTTCAGGTACTTTCATGTTTCCTACAGATTTCTTTGGGTGTTGTTTTTCAGGTGGCAGTAATGCTAATAGTGTTCCTTTTTCTGTTTTACTCATTCTAATAACCTCTAAGACTACCTGTACCTTTTGATCTGTCGATAGTGATCAAAGTTTCTCCTGTGTTTTTTGGCGACACATATAGAAAAACAGGCAGAGTTTTAATTACACTGTTGCAGCTGTCATCTTGACTTTTTTGGAGCTTACCCTAAAATAAGAAAAATTAAAAGACAGGTGTTTTGAGAAAACTGTTAAAAAACTTTATTTGAATCCTGAATTTAAAATTGTACATTTTAAATGTTTGAGCATCATTTTTAATCTCCTGCAGCCTATAATGAGAGGAAAAAATAAGTAAAGGTAAGATGTATGAACATAACTCTGTTCATGTAATGCTTTTTCATAATTTGGGTTAATTTCCCCGTCTGAGCCAGAATTCTGAACTTGCACTGTAAATCAGTTCAGACCTATCAGAATGCCCAATGGGATCAGATCAGTCCAAACTGCATCAATCTTAATTTGAATATTCATTAAAAAAATATTTATTTTATTACTGTATGCGTTTAACAAAGTCTAAAAATAAATCCCACACCTCACTAAATTTGGCATAGACTGGTTTGTACCAACCTACTCTGTCTTCACACTAATCAGAAGATTTGCCTGATCATTTGGGATTGCATAAAGCTGGATAAGAAGTAAAGGATAGGATAGTGTACCCTTTTTTAAAAATTCTCAATAAAGGTCACAAGAGCAACATATTAAGCAAACAAATGGGCAAAATAACCCCTCCTCATTTTTTATTTTTTATTTTTTTTGCTAGCCTTATTTCCAATTTTAAATTAGAACTTCAGGGCTTAGATGGCTACACATGACCATTGAGAGCTTGGAGCAATGACATCTTAACATTAAACAGCTAAATCTAGTAAAAATCTACAGGAATTAATCTTAGATAGAAGTTAATTGCAAGACTAGCACACAGACTTGAAAACATGAATTACAAAATACTTCTGGGAAAAGCCACAGGACAAAACCTCATGGAAGGCCAGATTAGAAATGAAGTTGAACTGGACTTGGTATATAGCTTTCCTCTAGGGCTGAGAAAAATATCTCACCATTGCCCCATTTTATTTATGGATTCCAAGTATATTTGAATCTAATGCACAAACCCTACAGATATTTTGACCTCGTTTGGTCACTGAATCATTTTGAATAATTTGATATCACCCAGAAATTGGAAAAGAGTAGTCAATGTTCCAAATGCAACACCCAATATTATCATTTTAATATATTATCGCTGGAGCACATGTTAATTGAAGAATATCTTAGCTCTGATAAAATCTAAAACAAAAATAAGGGTTCCATCCATTCAATTAATTGGTATTATTACTATTCTTTTTTCTTTATCAGAAATAATCTGTTGCATAGAATCCAGCTTTTAGCTTTATTTTGGACCATTTAAAACAACAAGGCACACCTTTATGTACTATTATAATGGAAGTTATAAAAAGAGAAATTCACTTTTTTCCTGCCAGGCTCTATTATTATTATTTTTTTTCTGTTTCTCCAGCAGATTCATACTATGTTCCACTTGATTGATCTAAGCATCTAAACATCTGTTCTATTCCGAGGCTCTGGGATTACACATAATAAAGAGCATACCAGGAAAAGCCACCAAAAACAAAGTGAAAATCTTCCAAATGTTTTCATTTAAATGTCCACGGATATCAATCAAGCGCTGTTTCTTTTACCAGAGACTCCAAGAATGCTTACTTTGTAGTATAATTGCTCAATATAATTTTATGGCACACAATACAAGTTCTGGTTTTCTTGGGCATTTTGTAATCCCGATCAGAAATCAATACCTTTATTACTAGTATGCATCCCTATTTGTAGGCAATACTTTGGAAGGGCACAGAGGCATTCTACAAACCACATGTTTGCATACTGTTTGGTTGGGAAAGGAGGCAAGGAGATATGGTGTCTTTAATAATGAAAGGCAATTGTGAGCTAAGCTGGCATGACCGTCCATAGTCCTATATCAACTTTCTGGCTCGTTGGGATTTTTCTGCCCCTAGCTAGAAGAAGAAATGAGAGAGACAGGAGACTAGAATACCAAGGATTCCATTTTTACCCAAGCTCCAGCTGATACGGAATGCTCTAAGGACCTGCATTGGTATATAATGAAAAATCAACACTAGAGTTGCCTATTCCAAAAACCATAGCCAATCTAACAAGTCCACTTGTTATTCTCTATATACAGATGTAGTTAGGCATGAAGGACTACTGCAGGAAAAGCAGAGCCCATCAACCCCAGCAGAACCCTAGCAAACCTATCTGCATGATGCTTTCAAAACCTCAATTGCTACACAGAGCTTTCCTGAGGCACTATGGAAATGAGACAGAGAGTAAGAGGAAGGGAGAGAACAAGGGATATTTCTGTTCATAACTATTGAGCAGAAAAATCCACCAAATCCATAAAATTGCAACCAAGAAATATGGAAGAAAGAAGATGGAAGATAAAGTCTGCTTTGTTGGCTGTACCAGGGGAGAGATTAAGTGGCTCCTGGATTGGGGCTGAAAGGCGAAAGGGAAGCAGTATGCTCCACCCCGTATTTGGGTAGATCAAATGGTCCTGATAGACCACTCTTATATAACCCCTCCTCCAAAAAAAACCCCACTTAATCTCTGCCCTGGGAACACCAACAAAGCAAGGAGAACCGTGATTTAGAGGTTAATACATCTACCTAATATGCAGGTAGCCTGGGTTTGAATTCCAAAAAGGTATGGCTAGCTGATGAGAGCTAAATAGCTTGAAATAGATCTAGTCTACTAATCTTCCTTTATTTCTTTGGCAGTAAATATAAATTCAACATAATCTTAGTATGTTAATTCTTAGTGTAATTCAGGAAATCTACCATTATACACAGGATAAAGTAATCTTTTTTCCACATAGCCTTGAGAAAAAGCAGAATGTAAATATTTTGTTTGACGTGAGAGACAGTTTGGAAAGAAATTAAGGAAAATAAAGGTTTCTCTCCTGGAAATTCTCTGATGTTGTTCTAGACCTTCTATGCAGTTAATGGAAGAAGATATGGGTGCGTTTAATAGAGATTTGTGCAGAAGCCATATTTTAACCACGAGGGAACATTTTCTAAACTGACACAAGATATAATGCCCATGTGAAAATGAGAGAAGTAACCACGGCAATGAAGTCAGAATTTGAAAATAAGTTCAACTAATGGACAGGTGCCTTTAAAAGGAAAATGAGGTTAAAGGGAAAACCCTACAAATAAAAGCTACTTAGGTTCAATAAGGCATTTTTCATTAGCCTCAATGAGTTTGGAATCAGTCTTCTGTATGTGTGCATATGATATTCACATGTAGCTCAGTGATACATCTGGCAGAATAATGAATTTAATGAATGCTGCCAAATGACTGAGACGCTAGCAGCCTGCTTTGCCACGGGGAATTGATAGTCCCAATCAATAATCTGTCTGATCTCTAGTAAATGTCACAATAATGTGGGGGATACAGCTTTTCTTTCACCTACCGGTAGAACATATCAAGCCAACACAGATTTACCAATTAGTGGAGAGATCCTTTATTTATTGATTAAAACAGAGTATTCTTTACACTTTCATTCTGTTTCAGGTAGGGTTCTCCTTTGCCTTTGCTTTGCAGTTAAGGAAAGTAATGCAGCTGACCTTTCAAGAAATCACAAAATACCTGTATGGTTATAGTAATTGGTGTGTGGAAGATAAAGACCAACAGTACTCCATCCTCTTCAAATGCTTTATTATAAAGTAATCTCTGAGAGTCACAAATGGAAAGTAATCTATCTGCTTTTGTGACTAATGGATAAACACACACACACACACACACACACACCGTAGAACCGGTAGTAAAACCGGCGGGAGGCCCACCCACTAACCCCGACGTCATCAATGGCGCGGCGCTATTCTGAACCGGTAGTAAAGGTAAGTAGAACCCACCCCTGAAATGAACTATCATTTAAAGCAGAGGTCTTCAAACTTGGCAGTCAGCTGTTTGGAGAATTCTGGGAGTTGAAGTCCACAAGTCTTAAAGTTGCCAAGTTTGGAGACCCCTGACTTAAAGGATCCCATTTTAAACACTGCCTTTTAGCTTACTATGACCTGCTGAATTCCATACTTCTAGATGTCTCAATGACCAAAGTTTGATTTATGTACCCCATCCCTTTGCTTAATTGCTTACTTGCTTAATTTGATTTATATGCCGCCCTTCTCCGGAGACTCAGGGCGGCTTACAATGCGTTAAGCAATAGGCAATCCCTGTCACTTTAATAACTCTTCTGCTATGGGGTGAATTTAAAATTCAATAACTACACTAGAAGCTCTTTCAAATCATTATGATTTCTTCCAAAAGGTATGCTGAAAGGTAAAGTGATATCATTCTTCTCAGAGGCATTGGTCAAATAGCACAACATATTTGATGGGAAGTTGACATGAATAACATTTTTCTGAATAGTTAGTATGTTAACTAAGCCAGATGTTTAGACTGGATTTGGCATTTTTGTCTGCCTATTAAGTCCTTCTCAAGGATCCGAGATAGGCAGATGCTTAATAATATTAAAAGTATCATCATAAGATTTTTTTTTTAATTTTTATTTGTCAAGAACGCATTTGGTAATAAGTATAAGCACGGATTAGATACATAAAATAGGTACAAATAGAAGAAACATTAGGAGAGGGACGGTAGGCACGCTGGTGCTCTTATGCACGCCCCTTACAGACCTCTTAGGAATGGGGTGAGGTCAACGGTAGACTGTCTTAGGTTAAAATTTTGGGGGTTTTGGGATGAAACCACAGAGTTAGGGAGTGTATTCCAGGCATTGACCACTCTGTTGCTGAAGTTATATTTTCTACAATTGAGTTTGGTGCGGTTTGCTTTTCCAAGTCTTTCTTTCTTTCTTTCTTTCTTTCTTTCTTTCTTTCTTTCTTTCTTTCTTTCTTTTATTAAAGCTGTCTTCAACAATATTGTCTGTCTATGCTATAGAATTTTTGTTGATAGTTATAGCCAGAATAGCCACTTTTTAGTATTAGAAATGCAGATATGACATTTAAACTTTTTAGCTGAAGGCACAGAAATAACCAACAAAAAGGAAATAACACTTCTGCTTTGGGGTTGCCATATGGACATATAAAATATGTCCTAAGTCTCTAGGCATTTTTA